ATGTTGTTGTTGATGATGTTGCTGTTGTTGTTATTGTTGTTGATGATGATGTTGATGTTGTTGCTGTTGTGGTTGTTGCTGAGGTGACGTTGTGGTTGATGTTGTTGTGGTTGTAATGTTTTTTGTGGTTGATGTTGTTGAGGTTGTTGTTGTGGTTGTTGATGTTGCTGTTTTATTGCTGAGATTGTTGATGTTGTTGTTGTTTTTGATGATGTTGTTGCTGTTGATGTTGTTGTTTTGTTGTTGTTATATCTGTGTGTATGAGTTTATCTGCGCTTATAAACTCCGTATATATTTGTGAGAACGTATTTGTGTGCACGTGCGTGTGATATTAAGTAATAGTTTTCTCTTATTGCGATTGTCAGTGTCGTTGGGATACACACGCGTAAACCGACAAATATCTTTCCAGAAGGCAGTTACTTAAACGCAGGTACGTGTTGTCTGTTGCCATTTGTATGTGTGTGGATGTGTATGTGTGGTGAGGATGTTTATGTTTGTTTGTGGATGTGTATGTATGTGTGTGTGTGTGGATACGTTTGTATGTATGTGTGTGGATGTGTATGTGTGGTGTGAATATGTTTGCATAAGTGTGGATGTGTATGCATGTGTGTGTAGTTGTATCTGTAGAAAGGATACGAGTTGGGTACGAACCTGCCGGCGACAATTGAGCGTTGACTAAGAAGGATGGTAATGTGGTGATGAAGAAAAGGACGATGATGATGATGATGGGGAGTTGTGGAATGTTCTTGGTCATTTTGATGCACTAGCTTGGAGAAACACAACAGTTCCAATGTTGTTGTTGCTGCTGCTGTTGTTATTGTTGTTGTTGCTGTTGCTGCTTTTGTCGCAGCTGTTGCTGATGTTGGAGAGGTTTGCGTTGTTGTTGCTATTGTTGTTTGTAGTAAAATTTGGTTTGGCTTCAAATATTTTGGTGAGGATGTAATTCTTGGCAATTTATGTGCTGACCTGCGAAATTTATTTAACATTGCATGTTCCAGTCTGTATTCATAGTTGATAATTCTATGAAACCAGCTTTTAAAAACTTATATATAATATATATATACACACACACATTCTCACATACACACGCATACTTACTTACACACTTTATTCTTACATACACACACATATACACACATTCTGTATATAAATACAATTACTATTTCAACACACAAACAGTTATCAACTTATAATAATGTGCAAACAATTATTTTATTTTTCAATTGCCAAAAAAGCTGAGTGTTGAAAATGTTTAAGCATAAGAAAAGTTAATTTCAATTTGTTTTTTTTTATAGTAATTAATTTTTTTAATAAGATTCTTCCAATGTAAGCAGTTGAGTTTGCGGTAGGAATCGGACGAACGAACGACTGACTGACTGACTGACTGAATGAATGAATGAATGAACGAACGAACGAACGAATGAACGAACGAACGAACGAATGAATGGATGAATGAATGAAAATTAATTAAAACTTACTGTCAGACGAGGAGTTAATACTTTTACTCCGAATTGTAAATAAACTCTCTCTCAGACAGATAGATCGTCTCACGAACTTCGTTGTCGTGGTGATGGTTTGTGTTATACAAATGCGTGTTGTATCATAAGTCCGGATGATATCTTGGCATTATTACTTCAAATGCTACTGGTTGATAATTCATTAATAGGTATTTGTCGTGATATAAAAACGTTTTAATTGTTATTCATATTATTATTATTCATATTATTATTATTATTATTATTATTATTATTATCAATGTTGTTCTTCATCACGATTTAATTTGATCTGTGTGTATGTATGTGTGATTGTTTGTGCGTGTGTATGTGGGTGTGTGTTTGTGTGTATGTTTGTGTATGCCGCTCAGCTGTTATAGCCTAGTTTTATTTTACTATTCTATAATGTGAATGTTGTTGTTGTTGTTTTTGTTGTTGATGATGCTAATGCAGTAGCAATATTAAACCCAACTTTTTCAAGATATAACAAGAATAAGTTGTTATATTTAAAGAAGGAATCACACTGATTGGTTAGTGCTGGTTACATGCTGAAGATGTTTTTGTTGTTGTTGTCGCTGATGTTTTTATTGTTACTGTAGATGATGCTGTTGCCGTTGATGCTGTTGTTGTTGAATATGTTGTTGTTGTTGTTGATGCTGTTGCTGAATGTGTCGTAGCTACTGTTGCTGTTGTTGTTGTTGCTGCTGTTCTCACTATCGAGGATTGTATTGTTGTTGATCTGCTTGCATCTAAATTGCAATCTTTGGACTGATCATCATCTCGGGTGTCGGGTGACGTCTGCGATGAATTCGTTTCTAATGTTCAAGTGAATTGAAAAAAAGCAATTTTACAACAATCATTCATCGTCGGTACCAACGTATCTCATCATACATACCGTCTCTATCATCATATATCATATCGCATATATCGTGTTTTTAAACATAAACTATGATATATATATATATATAGAAAATTTTTATATACACAAAACGTTTATTTCATGTTTATGTTCATGAATGATAGACATGTAAGTGGTATTGATATGTAAGTACATTATAAAAACTTTTTGTATAAATTTTGTCCCAAATGTTTTTATTTAACGCCATAAAATTTTGGCCCTTCCAAACCCCAAGTAACTACCACTCCAAGCCACTCAAAAACAAATTTTGCTAACTCAATTTATGACACATATACATACTCACAAACACACACACACTCACGTAAACAAACACACGGGCACTTTCACCACAAACGTACAGCTCAACACATCATCGCACACACGAATATATTTGTAATATTATTGCTGCTTTTATCATAATCTTCAATATTAAATTATTTTTTGACAATGTAAAAATAAGCAAAGACACAAAAAATTGTCACGACAGATAAAAAAGCTATCAAAGAACAAACGAGCGAGCGAACGAACGAACGAACGAACATCAGCAAGAAAAGTTGTTTGAAGATTATTAGTTAAACAGTCGTTGAACTTACATGCATGCATACCGATCCATTTCAAGACAAATTCTTTCATTGCTACTTATTACATATAAGACAATTTTCTGTACATTCGCGAGTGAATAAACATATAAATATAAATAATTTAGTGTATATATTACATTATATATATATATATATATATATATATAATATAATAATAAATAATCAAGTATGTATATTACATTAAATAATCTAGTATATATATTACATTATATATATATATATATATAATATAATGCAAATTAGTGTAGCACGCATTGTCTCAATGAGGACAGAGGAATCTTAAAGACAGGGTGACAGGCAGACCGACCAACCGAGAGACAGCAGGTCATGGAGATAAGTTTACCCACATCGCTGACTTCATGAAGATCCTTCATGCGATCAGACGTCATTGGCAACATCAACAACAACAACAATAACAATAGCCTCAACATTAACATCAACAACAACATCAACAGTAGCGTAAACAAACAAAGTTATGATGAAATGACATTAAAAACATCAATGAGAATAACCGCACTGAAATTGAAAACGCTAACAAAACATCGAAAACATCAGAAACATCGAAAGCACTTTAGCAACGACGACAACAACAATATTTAATTAGAAACACCAACAACGCAATCAACATCCTTATAAACAACAACAACAACAAATTATCCGCTAAATCTTTTCATCCTTCCCAATTAGGTTAATCCGGACACTACAGCAACGACAACACGTCAGAATTTCAAATTGTTTACTTTTTCGCGTGAACCCATTAGCGCTGATGAAATTATTGCTATCCGTTACAACTAGGCAAAGGCAGACCAGAAAGAGAGCTTCGGGACTGCAAACCCAAGTGGAAGAAAATTCTTTTTTTAAATTTCATTTAACGAGTTGATTCATGTGAAAAATAAAAAGATTACAAATCAGCAAGAACCGGATATCAAAAGAGTGCAACTCTTATCTAGTACACACAACAACCCAAAACGTCAATCAATCGCTACTCTATCATTTGTGATATATCTCGCAAAACCAACTTATCTCTAAGAGAACCGACACTCCGCAAGAGTGCAATATTGTGATTTTTTGAGGCTTTCGTGTTTAGTTTTTAATACGTGGATGGAGTAAAGAAAGGATTGTAAAATAATTTGTCGTGTAACAACTGTTAGTGATGTGACAGTAATTTTGTTCACGCAAAATTTTTACAGCCCGGTAAAATTACTGATGGTTTGAGTATACCTTAAATATTTCTATAAATATTCATAATTTCTTATATTTCTAACTCTGGCCATGCTAATACATCCTAACCGATTCCAGCAATTTATTGAGAATACAAATAATATTAATACTAACACCATTCACGTATTCAAGCAATAAAAAGTATGAATAATAATAGCAGTAACTATAATTGAAGTGATACAAAATTAATAACTTTAATAATGGTAACATAGATAGCGATAGAAATATTAATAATAACAATATTTAGAACAAAAACAACAACAACAGCATTATTATCATTTATAGGATTAATTAAAATGTTGGTATAAACCAGGGGTGGGCAAACGTTTTGCTGTGAGGGCCGCATTGAGAATTGTTTTACCTTCGAAGGGCCGCAATATGTACTTAAATAGCAAATTTTTCGACCCGGGGGAGAATTTTTTTATGACTTGTGGCTCCTTTTTTTGGTCATAATGTCTGACTGACAATCTTTATTTTAGCGAACAAGGAAAATGTTTTATTTTACGTACCGCAGTTTTCCCACCCCTACAATAAATCATTAGAATAGTTGCACTAACATTAATGCCCTATCCAGCCAAGCCAATAGCGACCTTTGAAGAAAATGAGTGAAAAATATTTCACCAAATATATTTTTAAATTATTATGTAGCTTTAGCTAACAATTATAATTTTAATGATGGTAATAGTTATTTATTTTTTATTCATTCAACAATAATCTCAATAAAAATATAAAAAGAAATAATAAAATAGAGCCAACAGTTTAAAAACTGATATAACGTCAAATTCAAATTAAAAATAATTATTTCAATCGGACAAATAAAAATTTTTAACATTACAAATTTTAAGTTTTCAAACAAATCGCGAAAAACCATTTTTTTCAAATAAATTGTCCAACACAACTCATCTCACCCTCTCTTGAAATAGCAAGCACCTCATCTCACCTCAACTCACCTCAACTTCAGCTACAGCAAATCAAATTAATGCTAACTTTTTAATTTTTGCAAAAAAAAACAAAAATTTCGCCAAATTAAATTCACTAAAACTAAATTAAATTGAAAATTTTAAACTAGCAAAAAGCGAACCAGAAAAGTGAACTACAACGGACGCTGTTTGCTAGCCTTGGAGTTCTCTAAGACTGAATCGTCTGCTAAATAACATAACACATCAAAAGCATGCATACTTACGTACACACTTTTACACACACGTACACACACATTCACATACACACATACATATAAAAAACATAAATGTACTATGCGTTTATAAACACATAAATAAACACTTATGTATATGTATGCCTATAGGTGCATATATAAACAATAGGCACACATACATCGTTATTGTGTGTGTGTGTTTGTACCACATTATTGACAATAATAACACGACAAACCACCACAATGCTTTCACTATTCACCACTTATTCTGGCTCTGTGTTGAACAAATCTTTTGATTGTTAGCTGATCAAACACTCACATGCACACATAAACATACACACTTCTCTCTTTCTCTCTCTCTCTCGATCTCTCGCACGCACTGACACA